AGGTGAAGATGTCTGTGCTGGAGAAGGTTTTAGTTTTCTGCAAGGCTGATGGACAGCTGGTGGTGCAAGATGCTGCGTGTTTTGAGGACTCCACGCGTTTGCGGGTCCGTGGCAAAAGTTGCTGCTCCGCATGCTTGGCCGTCGCAGATCGAGCTAAAGTTGTCCAGTCCATCAGAGAGTGGTCGCTACGAATCAGCTTTGTAGATCTCACCCATTCAATCTTGCACGGTGATCAAAAGGAGATTTTGCAACAGGCTGAACTCATGAAGCTATATTTTCCAGAGTTGGAATCTGCGTCATCGTTGGCCAGCATGTGCTACAAAGATGCATACACCAGAACTCGCAACTACTTCATGTGCATCCCCTTTGCAAGCCAGACCCAAGCGCTCAAGGATTACGTATCCAGGTCACTGAAGGACTTGACTCCTGGTTTGGTGTGTGGCTTGCCTTCTGCAGTTCGCAAGCAGGCAAATATCTACATTGAGTCTCTGGTATCTGGGCAGTTGCAACAGCGTGAGACAGATGCAATGGTCGGAGTCTTAGTTATTTAAAGCATCATCAATTATCAACCAGCCAAAGTCATCCAAAGTATTCCAAAGCCATCCAAAGTCATTTGGAATCAGTTTTGCAGGTATATTGGAACATCGTTGAATATTTTTTGTTTTTTGAACATTTTTTGAACTATTTCGATTATGTTAGTGTATGTTCATATATTTTTTTTATCTATTTGAACCATTTTGAACTTCTATTTGTGCATCGCTTAGTTGTAATTGAATTTAAATTTTTCATACAATTATATTTTCATTCCTGTCACCAATCCTCAGGCTTCGCTTGCCGGAGGATGTCTCAACGGAGACATCATTGCGCGAACTCTGGTGCCAGTATTGCTTCGCAAAGCGGACCGAAAAAATCGAGGATGTGTGGCAAGACCAGGATCGTCAGCATCGTCTCCACAGGACTGATGCAGCTGGGATTCGCTCTTGGAGGCATTCTGGGCAACCGGAAGCTAATTTGCTGACTCCCTTCACGCCCAATTTCTTTTGCGCAGAAGCTACGCAGCTGGAGGAGTCCATTCGGGTAGGCCTCAACATCTTGAGCTTGGAGAATACCAATGCCTACATGGTCATCAGAGATGAAACGGTCTTCGCCAAATCCTTTGACTTGCTTTTTGGGCTCCGCTTCTTGTCAATATTGGCTGCAATGTCGGGGTGATTTGGGGCGCGTGTCAGATAGCTGAATCTGAGGGTTTGTTGAAATTGGAGGGATGGGAGTTTCCAGGATGACAGCACCAGCTTTAAGTTAATCCTTAATGGTTTCGCAGCTTCGCAACTCAAATTGAATCAATATTGACACTTTTTTGGCTCAGATTGAGCATTTGCGATCATTTTCCCATATTTGCTCGCATTTGATCTTCCTGCTTGCCATGGCCTCTCCGTCCAGCGCAAAGGGACAGGGCAAAGGAGCTGGTGAGGCCACACCGCCGTTGACCCCAGTCAGATTCAGTGAGGTCCTCCGCGAGCTTCACGCCAATGGTTTCATCAGCTGGCGGCCAGCTACCCCCAAAGCAAGCCCAAAGCCTGCGGCTGAGAATCCAGAGCGTGAAGATGGTAGCAAGTCTGACGCGTGGAGCTTCATGTCTTCGCCATCAGATGGACCGGTGACCACAGGGCAGGTTATGACTGCACTGGAGGGTGATTCTTTGCAGCCTGATGTTGAAGCGACCGCATTTGAAGAAGTGCTGACCCGGCCGGTTGACGTATTGAGTGCCCAGCTTCGTATCCAGATGGCGACCTTGAAGGAGATTCGGCAGCTGAAGGAAGATCTGCGGAGTGAAGGAGACCGTTCTCGCTCACGTTCTCCCCGCCAGTGATTCCAGCACTGCGGTGTTCTTGGATGATCTCAAGTTATTAATTTTGGACGCCCTTGGAATGCTTCGGATGCCTGTGGCGATCTGTTGCGAATCCATGGCGGCTCCAACCTTTTTGGTTGCCATTGGATGCCTGTGGCGAATCCATGGCAGACAGACGTCAGATGCAGAAAAAACTAGACGACTATTGGAGCTTCTGGGAGGGGGGATAACGAGACGCCCCAAAACATTTCAAAACAATTCAAAACATCCTAAAACAATCTAAAACATATAAAAGGAGAGCATCCATGAAGCACACATGCCAAGATATGCCAATGTTGGTGTCACGCCATTAATTAATCTGGGGGGTGACCTGGTGGAGCATGGGACCAGAATAGATACTTAACATTATTTGAATATATTGAAATCTATTTAACATTATTTAACATTATTCAACAACCATTGATATCAAACAATACACTAAATTAATCTAAATGACATTAACAGAGTGAACCAGAGGTGGGAATCAACCGGATATGGAAACAATTCAGAGTGGAGCAAAATGACGCAGAGCTAAGGAGAAGATGGTCCAATCGTCGTTGGAGGAGAGCATCCAGGCTACAGTTTCAAGGTGATGAGAGTCGGCTGGCCCGCTTGAGCATGAGCACCTGCATCAAGGGCATTGACAGGAGAGGTGGGTGCGTTCAAGTTCAACAATTGCCCCGGAAGAAAACCGGGACGGCAAACGAAGAGTTCTATGATTGTGGGACAATGTTGGCTGCGTGCGTCAAAGCATCCAATGGTTTTGCTCCAGTGTCTCTGGCCTGCAACGGGCATTTGAGTTACACAAAGCTGAATCAGTTTTTGCTGGGGCAACTACCGCAGCACCAGTACAGCGCAATCGCATTCTTCGAGGAGTGTGTTCCAGCATCCGGACCCACAATCCCTCTGTTTGGCTTCAAGGTGATGAAATTCAGCCCGTCCCAGAGCTCATCCAAGCAGGCCTCAAAGCTGTTTGGCTGCATTGATCCAAAGCATATTCTCAAGGCTATGTCTCGGGGCATCAGGACGCCTGGCAGAAACATTACTTTGCAGCCAGGCTTCTTTAATCTGTTTTTTTATGTTTTTTTTTGTCGCGTTATATTGTGTTTGTGTTCTATCATTGTCTCAGCTTTCCTTTGGCTTTTTGTGGTTTTCTATGTTTTTCCTATGTTTTTCTTATGTTTTCTGATTTTTTATATTTTCTTATGGTGTCTTGATGTTTCTTGTATTTTCCTATATGTTCTTCATTGTTCTTCAGTCATAGGTACGGATTCCATGTGAGCCTTTGCCCAAACCAACTTTGGAGGCAGAAAGAATCATTGCCGCCAAGAGAAGAGCAGAAGCATTACCAGCAGCACAGACAGATATTCCTCGAGAACATGCGATGGTGAAGTTCAGAGATGAAAATGCAGAAGCAGTCATGGCCAAGGCACTGGAAGGAGGAAGTGATTCAGAGAAAGAAGAACAACTATTTCCAGAGCCAATGGAAATTCCAGCCCCGCTGGAAATCCCTGTTGAAGCAATGAAAAGAGATGGAGATGAAAGAAAGCCAAGTGGAGAAGACACACCAAGTAAGGGGCAGACAGTTCTCTTTACAGATGATAGAACACTTGAGCAGGTTAACGCATTTCCCCCTATATACATCATTGCCAGCAGGGGGGCCTAATCCAATTACTCCTATATTATCTTCATTGAGATCGCCGTCAGCGCCATCAAGACCAAGAGAAGCATTTGAATTGCTTGAAGAGGAAAGCCCAATCAAGAAACTTAGGCCATCAGATGGTTCTTGCCAAGATCAGCTTGGCGAAAGTTAGAGGTGAAGATCTTTACCATGTAGATGAAGAGTTCTCCCCAATTGCAGAAGAAGCTGGAGAAGAAGAGTGGGGCGATGAAGAAGATGAATCAGACTTGGAAGGGGTGAATGGACCTGAATGCTTGTGGCGTGATGGAGAACATGAACCTGAAGGAGATCCAGAAGAGTGGATGAGTAGCTGATGAGGTGGAAGAGAAAAGACTCCAGAAAATGAAAGCGCTAGAGAAACCAGAAGGAAGAACAAAAGGAATCAGTTACTTGACAACACGCAATGTGTATGACTGGAGGAAGAAACCATACCAGCTTGGAGATTGTATTTCAGTGAAGAGGTGGAAGAGAAGATCAAGACTAGTTGCTAGAGAATTTGCTTTCGCTGAAGGACATGTAGTGGCTGCCCCCAAGAGTGCTAAGCCTCTCGCCTTCGAAGTTGGTTTCAATTCTTTATTCAAACCAAATCCGTTGGAGTCCCCCACAGCTTTTATCACTTGTAGTGCCCTTCCTCTCGTCAATGAAGCTGACAGCCCATAGAGCTTATTGCACCTGGTTCACCTGGTTTTCTCTGCCTCAGTTGCCAAGTCCATGTCAAATTTGTCATTTGGCTATTCATGTTCCTTCAAGTCCTTCATGTAGCCCTCACCAACTGCACTCAAGTACTTCAAAGACCCATGACTACTTTCTAAATGCCTTGATCTCTTCTTCTTGTGACTTGAAGTCAAATATGATGGGCTTTGCTATCAATCTTGACCAGTCTGTTGTCGATGACCTCTCGTCTTCTACTGCTTTCTTCACTGCCCCAGCTGCTGATGTTGTTGCCAGCGTACTCTGTGCTATAGTTTGAAGGATTTCTCTGATTTCCTCCATCTTCTACTTATACTAATGTCTCTTTGACCCAATGTACTGGGTACAGAGGGTAGCGGGTAGCTTGCAACAATTATTCACCAGTCCAACCGTTTGGGTCCCAAAGGCCCCAAACCTATGGCTCGAAATCGCACGCGGGATCCCAGTGCCCTAGGGGCTTTTCACTCAGAGCTCCAGAGGGGTTACCTCCTTCTCAGCTCCGCTACCATACGCACTTTTCCTTGATACGCAAAAAGGCTGCAGTAGGGTCCATGATGTTAATTATGTTATTCATGTACACATTGGTCTGCACAGAAAATGGTTCGCAACTGTATATTTTAGCTTAATAATGAACACATATATATAAATTAGTAGCTTGTTTTTTTCCTTATATTGTATTTGATACACGTTTACATTGTTTGCATACCATCTTCGATCCCGTTTCACTTCCGACAAGCTAAGGTTTGGCTGTCCTATCCGATACGTGCATTCGATATCATCCGATTCACGCTACTTACCAACCATTCTGTCCATTGCTCAGAAACTGCTGCGCAACTAGGTTTTCAACATTTGATGCGGTTTCTTATCATGTGTGGGTTTGAAATGTTTTTTACTATGTATTTTGTGTGAGGCGCTCAATTGCTGTCCTGGCATTAGACGATTTTGACATGTTGGAAGCATTTCAGGCAATGCTGCAGCTACTTGAGCTTGGCCATGAGGCCGAAGGTGGCATCCACCTTTGTAATCCTTGGGCTTTCCAGGGCATCAGTCAATGAGTCAAGTCTATTCTTGACTCACAGGTGCATCTCAGTTCGTTGCGTGCTCTCATCAATTCAAACAGGCCAAACCATTTTTTCTTTAGACCAGGCTGATCAAAGAGAGTGTCAATCAAAGCTTTGCCTCGTCGGGCAGGTTCTTTGGGCAAAGCAATCGAGAAGCAGGAATCGGTAGTTTTGAAAGATGAAACCCTTGGAATCAGTGGCCCTTGATTTTGATGCAATCAAAAGCAGCTGAGCCCTTATTCTAGCCAAGCAGGATGACTCAGTCCCTGATGCTGGCGACCGTGTTTTTTTCGGTGCGCTCTCAGATGGATTTGGACATGTCAAAGCTGTTGCATTTTTTCTTGGAATCGCACGTTTGCTGAAAGAAAGTTGCATTCCTTGAAATCAATTGAACACGAAACGAAACTATTTCTTGCTTCCATGTTTTTCCTTGTCATTTGTTCCCCTCCATTTTGTATCGTAACATCTCAGGGCGCCTGGATCCGGATGCAGTCCATGGAGTCCACCGAGGCAACGGACCTCAATACGTTTTCGCTTGAGCGATGGGAAGTGAACGTTCAGGTCGATGAGATATCTATGGGCTTTTCAGCTGTGGTCACACCAGCGCAATGCTTGGCCACATTTGAACGAAATCAGTGTTGGAATGCTTGTGGTCGAAAGCTTGAAACCAGTCACTTAGACTTATATACATACTTGGCCAACCTATGCCTGTGAAGGTATTGCTGAGCGTGCGCCAACGAATTGTGACAGCCGCGCTCTCGACATCAACTGCTTCTTTTTCCAGTTCACCTTTTCTCTTCTCCCTTTTCTCATCAAATGTCTCAGGCCTCCGATTTGGCCAGCAACACCACTGAGAAACAGCGCCGGCAGGCATCGGTGCAGCATGTGTCTCTTCGTTTGGCTCAACAATGCATTTCCTGCAGGAAGGATGTCCGGCGGCCTTGTGTCCCTCGGATTCCACAACCGACGCATGGAAGGGACGTCGACGTAGGAATGAGACATCTGAATCTGAGGCTCCTTTTCCCCAGAAGAGGATGCACCTTTCATATTGGATGCAGAAAACCAAAGCCTGCTGCAACCTCAGTGATACTGTTGCCATTTGACGTTTGCGCACTTGTTTTTTGCCAGGCACAATCTTTCGTTGACCAAGATTCCCACTTCCACACCAGAGGTGGGGTTGCCCACAGATCTTCAACAAGGAGTAAGTTGCGACTGAGACATGATAGGGATCGGCCGATCGGCCCAATATCAACAACAACATGCCAAACGCTAGGCCGGGGTTCCTGGCAATGTGCGGGAGGGTCACATCACCTTGAACTTGGAAAGGTCAGAGCAGGCCCCTGAATATTTTTGTTCGAGCTGAAGCGCTGAGTGTGCAGGATGTTCCCCCAAGACAAGTTGCAGAACTGTGCAATTGTTTAGGCTTTTTACACCTCTTATTTTATTAGCATATGATGGGTTTATTATGGTTTATTAATATTATTCCATCATGATACAGTATCAGCCATTTATTGATATAGTAATATCTTATGAATCAATGGCTGATAGCCTCATAAAAAATTACCAACATAACCTTGGCCACGTCGTCTCTTCACTTTTGCTCGGTTAGGATTATTTTGGTAATTATATTCTTATTCACATCCTATTTTATATTATGGATTTCTTCATTCTTACTAATAAATTAGGATTTGACATCGACAAATCCATTATTTGCATGTTTGGGTTATCAACACATTAAATGCTGTAGACAAACATGCAGATAATAACATCATAATACATTTATCCTCTTCCACTAATATTTATGTTTAATTCTCAAGGTAATAGCCTAAAGAAGAGAAACATTCTACACACCACAAAGAAATACAGGAAACGACGATCACCAAATTATTATTAGCAACCGAAGGGATCCAAAACATCCAAAAATAACAATAACATGGTAAAGGACATTTGGCATGAATTTTATAATAGATTTTCAAGACCATTGATAAAGTTCATGGGTTACATATATCGGGTTCCAAGATCTACTGCAAAATAGAATAAACCAGAAAATCCTGGAACTCGGAACCCGCGATCATATTGTCCTTACGGTTGCTCCTATAATATTCATTGTCATTCATTTTTTATATTAATGATGATTAAATCTGGGAGCAACCGATTAATGTATTTTTTGGCTTTTTGTATTCTATTTTTCCCGAATGCGTAGCGAAGGGTTCTCGTTTAACTCTTGGGGGTCTGGGGGTAGAGCCTTGTTTGCGATCCGTGGTTTCTACGTCCGCAACCGTCCGCAACCGTTCGCAACCGTCCGCAACCGTCCGCAACCGTTCGCAGTAGAGCGCTAAGGCGCTGCCATTGGGGGAAGCTTTTGCAAGTGACTATGCATGGATGTGTCACGTGTGAGTTTGCGACGCTAATCCATTGTGATTTGCGTGAAAATGACATGTCGCGCAAGAAGCGTGATGCATTTCGCTGCACAGGCGCAGCGTTTCGTGAGATGCGCAGTTTGCGTCGCAGTTCCATTGGGATTGGCGTTTGGAGAGTCGTGTGTTTGGGGTGTTGGATGTGGCCGTGCCATTGGGATTTGCGTTTCAGGGTGTGGCATCGAAGCTCTGTTTTCGTGACAAGTCTCAGCTGAAATGCCGATTTTGGTGGATGGGAGTATGCTCAGAACGGGTCGAAGCCATTCCAAACGTGTGGTGTGGTGCAAATTTTGTTGAAGCTCACATGAGATGATATTGTCACTTTTCGTGGCAGGCGCAGTACTTTGTGTGGCTTTTGAGGTGTGGAAGTGCGAGTCTCGTGGCAGGCGCAGGGAATCGTGAGGTTGCGAGGTGTGACGGAGGCGACATTTCGTGACAGGCGCAGTACTTTGCCCGCGTTAGACATGTGGATGCGGAAAGATTCGTGGCAGGCGCAGGGAATTGTGAGGTCGTGAGTTGTGGTAGAAGTGAATGTCGCTGTCACAGTGGGATTGGCGTGTGAACGGGTGTTGTTTGGAGGGGCTGGACTGGCGAAACTGCTTGGCAGGGCTGCGTGATGTGTGTGCTCCGATGGGTGTTTCTGCTTGACTTTTGGAGGAAGTCTCGTACGAAATGCTCGTTTTGCAGACTTTGACATGTGACTTTTGGAGGAAGTCTCGTACGAAACGCTCGTTTTGGAGACTTGACACGTGACTTTTGGAGGAAGTCTCGTACGAAACGCTCGTTTGGGAGACTTCCACAAGAGCGTCCTACAAGAGTGTCCCACAAGACGACAACGAGTGTCCCATAAGAGTGACCCACAAGAGTGTCCTACAAGAGTGTCCCGTAAGAGTGTCCCACAAGAGTGTCCTACAAGAGTGTCCACAAGAGTGTCCTACAAGAGTGTCCCCCCAGAGTGTCCAAAAAGACTATAAGAGTGTCCCACAAGAGTGTCCTACAAGAGTGTCCCACAAGAGTTTCCTACAAGAGTGTCCCACAAGAGTGTCCCACAAGAGTGTCCCACAAGAGTGTCCCACAAGAGTGTCCCACAAGAGTGTCCTACAAGAGTGTCCCACAAGAGTGTCCTACAAGAGTATCCCACAAGAGTGTCACGTAAGAGTGTCCCACAAGAGTGTCCCGCAACAGTGTCCCACAAGAGTGTCCTACAAGAGTGTCCCACAAGAGTGTCCCGCAACAGTGTCCCACAAGAGTGTGCTACAAGAGTGTCCTACAAGAGTGTCACGTAAGAGTGTCCCACAAGAGTGTCCCGGAACAGTGTCCTACAAGAGTGTCTCACAAGAGTGTCCCTTAAGAGTGTCCCACAGTTGTGGATTTCTCTGTATTATGTGGACGGTTATCATTTTCAAGTGCTTATTTTCGAGATTTTGGGACAATGCCATTGTTTCTTTCGTGATGTGGATCTGCCAGAACCTTTACGCCAGTGCTTGATTTGAATGCAAAACGAAGACCCTTCATGACGAAGACGGAGCTTGGTGGTGAAGTCCCCAGCACAGGCTGCCTTGGTGGTGGAGCCCCCAGCGCATGATGTCCAACAGCGTACCGGAGTGTGAAAAAGATAATCTAACCGGCTGTGTCTCTTTCTATACACGGTGGATTGACATATGTGTTTGCATTCGGGTTCGTGGGCTCCATCTTGTTTCCTATCGTTAAAGCCAGACAATAATAGAACTAGTTTTTGTGATGTTTACAGCATGCACAAACAACATGTCTGAAGGCAACACACCTCTGCGAAAGGCAGCCCAGCAAAGAGCTCCCATGTTTATTGATACGAAAGAGATCCATGCTTACAGAGTGTTAAGGTTTCACATTTACCTGGAAGTTTGTTACAAAGGACTTAGAGACGTGAGTGATTAGAAACCAGCAGAATTCCTAAAGCGCGCAAACCAAGCCGAAACCAATAAACCGCAACCAACAGAGAACCAAGGAGCTAAAGGGGGAGCCCGGTGAGACAACTGGGAGGCGAGCAAACCAAGGTAGCCGGTCAGAAGCTTGCCGGAAAGGAGGGGTTACGGTTGGTGGGGCAGAAAGGCGACGGGTTGGAGAGGCTTCTAAGGGATTCCGACTGAGTCCTTTGCGTCTCTTAAGTACCCAAGTCGTGGTATGCACTATGCAGATGGTGCAGATCTCCTGAAACCCTGACTTCACTAGAATCTCATCACTTGGTTGACTGTTGGTGGGGAGCGACAGCGACAGCACTTGAAGGCTTTGCCAGTCAAGTCAACTTGCAGGTGCAAGCAAAATATGGTGCTCAATCACCACCGCCTGAGGAACAGCATCCTCTCTCAAAAATTCAGCATCAGTTGTGTTGACCATGGTAGCAGTGAACACATTTGGACATTCAGCAATAAGTCTTTGGGAGGCCTCTTCCCTTTCCACGTTTGAACCACAAACTCACACCATACACCATGCTCGCAAAAAAGATTATCGAGGGGCTCATTCAGCATGTAATGTAGCGCTTGTGTAGCAACGTTAGAAGATTCGCTCACGAGCTCACGAGCGAAACATATCATTTCTTTGTGTGCAACCGAGCAACATTTATTATTTTTTTTTATTTTTATTTTTTTAAGAACCATATTTTTTTCTGAATGGAGATTCAACACTTCATGCTGCATGCTAGTCCATGATATCCTGAGCATGTTCTCACGATTTCTTCTTTACACTGCATTCAAGCACTTTGAATGCTTTGCGTACAAGCGAATTGGACAACTCATGAAAGAAAGGAGATAGACATCATCAATGATGTCGTCCACTACAAGAGTGCTTACTATGGCACCATCATGGTTGGAAGTCCGTCGGGACCTGTGAAATGGCTTTCACCTGCAGCATGGTGGCTGGCTGGCCTCCACCAAACGAGGCCAAGACCCTTCACTGTAGTCTTTGACACCGGAAGCGGACACCTGATCCTCCCAAGCTCGTGCGAGCCTTGCCATCTCGCCCCTCTACCTTGCGAGTCCTACACTGATCAGGTACTGCCACACAGACACGTGCAAGGTACACCGCAGGCGGGATAGTGAGGAAATACGAGGGACCAACTTGGATTCTAGTTCAGCCTGTCAGGTACAGAAGGAGCTCATCAGCAACAGCCAAAGACATTGATTGGGATGGGCGCATGGTGGGACACCCAAATCAGAGCACAAGGTGTTGCTGCAACTAGACTCTGACTTAACGAATTTGACAAAATTGAAGGCCTTCAAAGACGCTTCAAGCCTTTGCAAAAGCCTTTTTACAGTGTTCACTGGGTCCCAATTGTGGTTTTCGCAGAGGTCAGAGCTGGCGAAGCTCGAGATCAGATCACTGCTTTTTGACAGCACTGCGAGCATCAATACGAACATGAACTTTGCATGTGCAACACGTTGTGTTCACACTGACTGCTGCTTGTATTCTCATTTGCTCCTCAGGTATCCTTTGGTACCGGTGAGGTCACTGGTGTGTTTGTCGAGGACACTGGTATAGCCTAGCTGATTCTAAATTAAGTCGGCAGGTGAAAAGAGCAAGCTCCTTGGATCCTTGAATAAGTTTTGAATCACTGAAGAATGCCAAGAGAGAACATGGAAGACCTAGTTTCAATAGGTCTTGTTCAGCTGTGCTTGTGAGGACACAATGTGCTTTGGACAGCGGGGTCCTGGCATGGATACCAGCAGCACAAATGTTCCAGTTGCAGGCAAAGGCTTTGTTCCACTCCTTCAACTTGAGTATGTCACTCGTACGTGCTGCACTGCCAAGTGTGTCTTTTCCAGAAGTATCACAATGTGTTGCTGCATTTAGCTGCTACAATGGAGCTGTGTTTGCTGCTCCAGTTGTCTTGCCCTCTCTTGAGCGAGGTGAAGGTGGAGAAAGCTGTGCCAGCATGAGGTTCATTGCAGCCACAGCCATTTGGCTATAGCACTTCTGCCATGTAGTTCCAAAGTCCCAATCATAGCCAAGTTCCAGAAGTATTCTGATGCATTTTGTTTAGATTGGCTCAGGACATGTCGGCAGATCCTTTCAAAGCAGTGGCCTCAGCTGAAGCACTTTTTGCATGGCTGCGTGGCATTGCCTAGCCTCAACTGCTTCATCTGCAGGATTTTGTGTTCGATGGCGTTCTTGGTTTGGGTCTCGACAGTCTTTCCCAAACACCTGCCTTCAACTTCCTGCAGGCCAGAAAGTTCGGAAGCGATGAGTCAAGCTGTGTATTTTGGCAGCACCCCTGCATTTCTCTTCAGGTGGCATCAGGTCTCACAAGTGAGCTGGGGCCTGAGTCACATGAATTGCAAGCTGCGTCATTCTCTTTCAAGCCCTATGCCCTACGCAACTTTTTGCAGTGGTCCAGCAAAGTTTCTAGGCGTGGCAGTGGCTTCAGCAAAGCGTTCGGGATCTTCCTTGCCGTCCACAATGAGGAGGACAAAATGGATGTGGCAAGAGACGTGTAATATACTTTAACCGTCTTTGACCTTTGCTTACTGATTGGCCAAACACTTACAGTACGTCTCAGTGCGTTTGCTCAGCTTGTTTATGACTTCTGAATTCTTGGACCAGTGTGTTTGCTCAGACCAGTCAAATTACCATGGGTGGATGGGCAGAAGAGCACCTTGAGGAGCAGGCCATGTTGCCAATTGATTCTTTGCGGGAAGTCATGTTGATTCTGATAAGTTTGCACTGCACCAGTATTTCTTGCAGTTTGAAGTTTGAATAGATAATTTGTACAAAACTCCTTCAGTGCCGGTGCTTTTCGCTTCAAGCTCTTTGAGTTCTAGTTTTTGACCATGAACTAGTTGAAACATAACAGGACATGTCTTGACACCACGGCTGCTATACAAACTGGGGAAGGTTTGCAAGCGATTAGTATGCAAGTTCTGTTTGACCCCTTCTACTGCTTTTGCGCATCAGTGACCATGGAAATGGCTTCAAGTTTCTTCTGCATATCCTGCGTGCGTCAATCATTTTATCCTGACTGGACCGTTGCGAAGATTTCCCCGACATCTCCAAACACTGTCATATTGGAACATGTCAGCAAAACATTGTAGAGGCATCTGGCTCCCAGGACAAATGACGTAAGGAGACCTTAACCGCCTAACCAAACCGTGTTTTAGATGCTTGCACTGTTTGCATTTACATTGCAGGTGAGCTGGAGTCCAGTTCTAGATCCAGAACTGGGCCATTGGCTTTTGCAGATCAAGGCGAATCCTAGAGAGCTATGCTTTCGCTTCTTCGCTTGTGTCGGTGGTAACTAGACGAACATGTAGGCACTCCGCGTTGATGGTGAAGTGCTGCCATTTTGCGACGATGGCTGCAAGGCACAGTTGACAGATCCATACAGATGCAATCAACTGCATTTGTTCTTTCCTTTCCTTGACCCTGCGCCTTTTTTTTCCTGTCACTTGAGCAGTTATTTTTCAGGTATGTAGGACACGGGAAAACCGAAGCAGCAGAGAGGGGAGAAGAGGGCTATAAGATGTGGGGGGAAAAGGTCGCAGCTGAGTTTCTTAAACAGACGAGAGACTGCTGTGAATTCAATGCTGAGACTCCCTGTGAGGCAGTGGTCGACTCAGGGACTTCCCTGCTTGCTGTGCCAACTCCAATTTTTCCGGAATTGTACGAGATGCTGAGGCCAGCCAGCCTGTTTGGCTCAACTCTTCAATCACCAACTTTAAAAGAGCAACCAGAATTAGAGTCCTGCAACGGCAGGTCTCCAGCATCGCTTGAAGGAGAGTGCTCCACGCACGGACCCAAGTTCTTGTACACACAAAGTGTATTTGCAGAATATAATCTTTTACACGTTGGTCCGTGAGAACTACAGAATCGGCATTCACAAAAAACTGCTGGATTGTGGAAATCACTACTTGAAGCCTTGTGGTTTTGTCTCAAGCGAGGGATTTTCATCTGCATTATCCCCTACCATCCGGTCTCTTACAAGATCTTATAAGGCAAGCCATTATCATCACTAAGCCAAGCAACACCACAAGGTTTGACATTGCTTGAATATATGTGTATATATGGGTGCTTGCTGATTAGGGGGGCCCCTGGCACACCATTAACATAAGCAATGATCTGAATAAGAATGAGAGTCACAGACCTCATGATTTTTCGTTCGAGCCAACACGCACAATTCGAGAAGTTGCTACCGCACGAACTTTGTCGTGACTGAAAACCATTTGTCTGAAACATAAAGCCAGAAAAACAATAAACACCAATGATCTGGAAACTATGCCCAATCCTAAAGCAAGAAGACAAAACAACCACCAATGATTTGGAAACTATGCCCAATCCTAAAGCCAGAAAACAAAAAAACAATGATTTGGACACTATGCCCAATCCTAAAGCCAGAAACCTCAATAAACAATGATTTGGACAATATGCCCAATCCTAAAGCCAGAAAACCCAACACAATGATTTGGACACTACGCCCAATCCTAAAGCCAGAAAACCCAAAGACACAGTGATTTGGACACTACACCCAATCCTAAAGCCAGAAAACCAAACAAAACAATGATTTGGACACTACGCCCAATCCTAAAGCCAGAGAACAATAAAACATCTGGAAACTATGCTCAATCCTAATGCCAGAAAACCAAAAAGCCAGGATTTGGACACTATGCCCAATCCTAAAGCCAGAAGACAACAAACATCAATGATCTGGAAAAACCTAAAGCCAGAAAACCACAAAACTATGATTTGGATGCCCAATCCTAAAGCCAGAAGACAAAACAACCACCAATGATTTGGAAACTATGCCCAATCCTAAAGCCAGAAAACAAAAAAACAATGATTTGGACACTATGCCCACTCCTAAAGCCAGAAAACAAAAAGCACCAATGAAACCATGCTCAATCCTAAAGCCAGAAAGCAAAAACAGCCACAATCCTAAAGCCAGAAAACAAAAAGACACCAACCAAATTAACACAATTACTGTATTTGGAAACTATCTTCATCCTACAAAGGTTTGGACTAGTTTGGAAAATAGTTTTTTTTGGCTTTAGCCTCATATATGTTGGGATGACTAGGTTGGTTTCAGATGTAGTTTATACACAGTTTATAAGCACAACAAACAACACATGTTCATAACCAATTCTTCTGATGTGGCTAATCATTTGCAGCAGCCGTAGCCCGTCATCTCATCCTTGCACCAATGTCAGCATTTTAATTTCAATCCCGTAGCGCGTCATCTCATCCTTGCACCAATGTCGTTTGCCTTCGAAGCGCTGTGTAAAGAAGCTGGGTCCATGCAGTTGACAAAGCTGGACCAGATCTGAGCACAGGGTTGTTTACCATTACAATTACATCTACAACAATAAGGCACTATATTATCCAGTGAGTGGGGCTCAAGGTTAGAAACTCTTTGGCAAGTTGAGTTGCACATAACATGCCAACCCTTCATATCAATATGAAATCTACACTCACAATAATTGCGCTAGTTATTGGCACTATTCAAGAACCACTGAACATATCCTTCTTTTGGTACTTTTCTTTTGGTGGCTGCTTTATGATGCACTTTGTAGTTTTTTCCATCAAGCTAGCTCAGACTGCATCTTGTACTAAAACCATCATTGGTGATCATGACTGTACCTAAAGAATCTTAAACCACTTCATAATCTTTGGTGCTTGTCAGCTCCTGAACTGGCTTTAGCTGTTTGGCATCGGCATCATCTGTTGCAGAAAAGTATTGCTCAACAAACTATTAGCTTTTCCAATAAACACTCAGACCGATGAAATAGATTTGATCAAATACAGTATACATAGATTTGATCAAATACTGTTACGTCAAATTCAGAGTAACCAGATGGTCTATTTTAACATCACCAACACTTCTGCCAGATAACTGAAAGCCATCCCACCCAACCCCACTCCCCATCTTCCGAAGCGCCTGTGTATGTGTCGTCATTTTCCAAGCATAGCCCAAATTTCCGAAATGTAAGGACATCCTCGTCCAAACACGCAAACGGAACTGTCAACAGGTACAAACAAGAAAGGGGTTGCCCTGACTCAAGGGATGGGGGGTTTTCCGGGAAGGGTATAACATGTTCATCGATTTCATAACATCATCATCACTTTCATAACATTGTCATCGGAGGATCATGTGATTAAATTTGCCGGGTGGAGGGTGCGGCAGCATCTATCATCAGCTTCACACCGTTATCATCAGTATCGCAACATGATCATCGGTTTCATTTCTGAGAAGATGACCGGAACCACACGGAAAGGTGTTGTTCGCTGAAGCGCGCGGCCGTGAACGGCTAATTCGCTGCTATTTACAGTACATTCATGACTCGCGACATCATCCATCGCCACTTCGACTGCGCAGGCTCGCTGAATCTGGGCGTCTGCGGCGGGTGCTTCTAACGACTACGCTCTCGTTGTGGCGCCGTGCGCATTTTCGTGCATGGTGGTGACTTTTCGAGGCAGGCGCAAGGGAAACCTCGTGGTTTGGTGCTCCAAAGTCGACTTTTCGTGACAGATCGGAGCTGTTTTACTTCGAAGAAATGCAGTTTTCGTGCAAGGTGTAGCACTTTCGACATGGTGGTGATCGTCGAGGAGCTGAGATTTCGTGACAGGGGCAGTGAATCGTGACTTTTGGACATGTGGCTCGTTTGCAGATTTCGTGGCAGGCGCAGCACTAGGTGAACCTCGAAGTACAGATTTCGTGGCAGGCACAGCGCTTGGTGAATCTCGAAGTGCAGATTTCGTGGCAGGTGCAGCACTTTGTGAACCTCGACGTGTAGATTTCGTGACAGGTATAGCGCGTTGTGAAGCTCGAAGTGCAAATTTCGTGGCAGGCACAGCGCTTGGTGAACCTCGAAGTGCACATTTTGCGACAGGCGCAGCACTTGGTGAACCTTGAAGTGCAGATTTCGTGACAGGTGCAGCGCTCGGTGAACCTCGATGTAGAGATTTCGTGGCAGGCGCAGCGCTTGCTGAACCTCGAAAGTACAGATTTCGTGGCAGGCGCAGCGCTGGGTGAACCTCGAAGTGCAGATTTCATCATTTCGTGGCAGGTGCAGCGCTTGGTGAACCTCGAAGTGCAGATTTCATGGCGGGTGCAGCGCATGGTGAACCTCGAAGTGCAGATTTCGTGGCAGGCACAGCGCTCTGTGACCCTCGATGTGCAGATTTCGTGGCAGGTGCAGCGCTTGGTGAACCTCGACGTGGAGATTTTGTGGCAGGCGCAGCGCTTGGAGAACCTCGAAGTGCAGGCGCAGTACTTTGTGCTCTCAGATGCTCACGCTCTCACTCTCCCACTTCGCTCGCGCTCCCTCACACTCTCGCACTCACACTCACTCTCCCACTCTCACTCACACTCACTCTCACTCACACTCGCGCTCACACGCCTCACACTCACTCTCGCGGTCGCAGACTCACTCGCTCTCACTCGCACTCACACTCACACGCGCACTCACTCACCCACACTCACTCGCCCACACTCTCTCTCACTCTCACTCACGCACACTTACTCTCACCCACACTCACTCTCACTCACATTCGCACTCACACTCACTCTCCCACTCATTCTGATTCTCACTCTCACCCACACTCACTCTCACCCACCTTCACTCTCACTCACGCTCACTAACACTCACACTCACACTCACACTCAATCTCACTCTCACCCACACTCACTCTCAGACTCTCACTCACACTCGCACTCACACTCACTCTCCCACTCTCACTCACACTCACACTCCCTCTCACCCACACTCACTCACACCCACCTTCACTTCATCACCACCATCACCTCTCTGAATCCGAATGCGTCTAGATCTCTAGACTTTCTGCTTACAGACCTCACACACACTGTTTGGGGTCTCTTGCCGGGATATATATATATATATATTTATTTTTTCGAGGGTTATTTGTTTTTTGTTTCAGACGCTTTCCTTTTAGAATCAGTTGCTATTTGGGGTCTGCCGGTGTACTTTTATATGAACATCAAGGGCGGATGGCGGGCTTGAAGGAGGATGCAATTCCACTTCTCACGGCTAAAGACACGGCTGTTTTCCAACCAGAATCTTTGCCCTAGGACGCAAGGGAGAGCGAGCCAGCAAGGGAGCGTGTGAGCGAGAGGGCCATTCATTTGCAAGTGCGAGTTAGTTCGATCGATGCGTCCGTCGAAGGGATCTTGCTTTCGATGCGAGTCGAAAGCCGGTGTATATATATATATATACATACACGTAATACACGTATAGAATTGGAGGCCAAGAACATGATATGCGGTTGGCCTTGCCTAATTTGAAGGCCGTCGCAGTACGTATGCAAGTTTATTCGGTGGACTGAACCGTTTACGGGTGGTTGCACGTGGGCATTGCGAGTATTAATTGCAAATGCTTTCAAAGCGTGCGATTACAATGTGGCCTGTTCTCCTGTTCGACTTGCGCTCTCGTTGCAGCGCTTGATCGGTGGTAGTTGAAACGCAAGAGATGGCGAGCTGATGGATTTGAAACGTGATGTTTTGCTTTTTTGTCATTTGGACTGCCTGGCGTGACGATTCCAAGAACAGTATCAGAGACGTCGCTCAGAGCTACATGAGGCGAAGACGGGGCTTCAAAACCTCCATGCCCCACGAAGAAAACCTGGTACAAGTGGAAGGGGTCTATGAGGAGGCCTCTAAACCGCAGCTCAGCTCACATTCGTTCCAGGAGCCACAGCTGCCAAAGTGCTCGACAAGCGTCATGCCAGGTTGCGAACACGGCCCCCCGCAAAAAGTACCTGAGCTATGCTCAAAGCCAACGCGCAACAATCCGCATTGGGGCACCATCTCCAATCTCCTTCTTAGAGCAGAGGTCGGGTCTACCCACAAGACCCTATCATTGTTGGCACGCTGGCTGTGTAGAGGAGCACAAATTAAGATGGGAGAAGGAACGCAAACTCCAAACGTCATGGGTGGAATCACTGTCAGGGCCAAAAATCAACCGGCAGTGGCAGTGGAAGAGGAAAAGAACCCGGAATGAGCTTCCCTCAATTGAGCCTGAACTTAGGTGAAGGAGACCCAGCCAAGGTCCTGCTATGTGAACAGCAGCATTGAAAAGGGTTTGCGTTTGTGACAATGCTGCATGATTCGGCCCGGCAACGCTTCATGCGTGGCAGAAGTTGAATAACACCATTGGTTTCCCCAATGCCTGCATTGCACTATAGAGGAGGATGTATTCCGCCACTCACATGCTATGTATGTGGCTTGGACGTAACAAATCATGAAACCCTGCGCGCTGTAAGGCAAACTCTGCACACGAAACCAAGGGATGCATGTCCGTAACCATGCCCACTCTGAAGTGCTTGGACATCTTATGGCACAAAACGAACTGCTTGTGGTTTACAGTGCTGTTGTTGCCTCGAAACTTTACTAGGGTTGGGGTCCTAGAGACAACCGACAGCGTCGGCTCCGAAATGGAGTGAATACCAGAGTTAAATCTTCTTAACTCTGGTGTTAATTCTTTGTCCTGGGGTACAGATCAGCATGCGCCTCAGTAATTCCTAAGTTAATTCCAAAGTTAATTCCTTTTGTCACCCCTGCTTCTTCCGGAAGCAACTCCAGAAATAATTCTTCATCGTTTCTTTGTGTATCGGGCCCCTTCAGGACCCTTGAAAAAGAATTGAATCCAGAGTCAATTCCTTTCCTGCTTTCTGTACCCCTTGAAAAGAATGAATCCACAGTTAATTCTTTTTTTGGTGCCTAGTTTGTCCCACCTTCTTATCTTCCTAATCCTCTGTCACCTGCCTAGAATTCATTACGGCTAAAGGTGAACAAGAAAACAAAAGACAAGCAAGAGATAGACAAAGAGAAGGAAGCAAGGAGAGAGAGTGAAACAGAATTAAGTCCAGAGTTAGTTCTCTATTTGCACAAGTGGCAAAGTTGACATAATTAACTCCAGAGTTATATAATTCTTCTAGGGTTACAGGTTGAACAGGTGTAAAGTTAAAGTATTAATTAACACTGGAGTTAAAACTATTTAACTTTTGTATTCAGCCTCTTCCCGCAACAATACCAATGAGTTCGTAGAATGAACTGATGAAATGAAACATAGAAAACACAAACAGAGTCTTTCAAAAACACATATAGCATATAAATGAAGTCATAATCTGAATTCAAATCATCAATTAGACTATTTCAAAAAAACTCACGAAACTCAACAGTCAGCTCAAAACATCATTAACAAACATAAAATGAACATTTCTGGCCAGAACCTGGCACACAACATCTTTATCGCAAACAAGCAAGCTAATGAAGTACTCCATGCCCCTTTCGCAAGGCCTTCTCAGCAAAATCAACCCTTGCTTGAAGTCGTAGCCAGCAAACGAGTGAAACTATTAGTCATGTAATGAGACGAAACCCCATTCAACCGCAACACCGAGTTACTTCTCTTCTAGTTCCGCACACCCCAAAGGTTCCTGATGCTCGTAGAGTTCCGAGAAGCGCTCGTCTTCAAAAGCAAAACTTTTGAACATCACGCCAGAGTCTTCTATCTCTCTATCTCTCTCCCTCTCTTTCTTTCTTTTTATTTTATTTTTTCTCTCTCTCTCTCTCTCTCTTTTTCTCTTTGTCGCTCTTGCTCCTTTTGTGAACAAGTTCCTCTTTGTGAAAGCACTTTGTGTCAGCAACCCATGGCCTATGTATGACTACGTCCGCTATTTTCTTTGTCACTTTCTGTGAAGAAGTTGCCCTTTGCAAATTGCTGCTTGTGATTGATCACTCTTCTATTTCCTTGAAATATTATAGCTTTGTACATTGTAGATGCCTCGTTTTCCCGTCCAAGTCAACAGGGTAGGGCCAGCGGCCACTTGTTTCACCTCCACAAAGCTGGCTTTGGCAAGCAAAAAACCCTAGCAAACGTGCTGGCAAGCGATTCAGGCGGAGTCCACGGCTCCAGATTGAACTGGAAGGTTTCACTGTGGAACTTGATGGAGAGGACAGCAGAAAGCTGGCAGTTGTGGGTTTGGTAGGTTTTGCGTTCAAAGCTGCTGGCAGGACTTCAGCAGGCTGGACCAGAAGTCAACCCCAAGCACTCCTGAATGGGGTCGTCCGCATACTCCTGCGGAGGAAAGCTTGCTGCTGACTTCAAACGCCAATGTGTGTCGTGAAATGGAGCAGAATGCAGGAGACTACTCGAAGGGATATGACTTGCAAGCCCATGCTCATGGTCATGGACCTGCTTGTGGCTGAGTTCAGCAGAAAACTGTTTTGGCTGAGCGCCACTGATTTTGTTAGGCCTGAACCGATTGGGCCAAAACTTTTTATTCTTGGAGAGCCTGTCCTCAAGACCGGACAATTTGTGGTGGCTTCTGGTGAATGCAGACCAATGTGAATGACACTTGTGACTCTTGAATGCCAAGAGATCTTCAGAGCTTGGAGGAAGTTCTACACTGTCTATGATGCTGAGAAGAAGCGCTGCTAAGCTGCAGTTGAAGCGACTCCAATCACAGCAGGGTGGGACCTTGGGAGTTCTACAGAGCACTACAGATCGTTGAAAACAATCGGAAAGGCTTTGTCAGACCTTAATCTCCTGCATTTGCTCAAACACCAACTTAATCCTCTATACCAACCTTGTAGCGCCTTCAATCAGGGCGCTGGCTGCCATCTTCAAACAGATCTGCACGTGAAATTTGATTTCTCAAGAGCTCAGCTATATATATATATAATGGCTCAAGGGCCAATTCAGCATCAAGCCGGAAGGGTACCGGCCTTTCTGGCTGAGCAGTACGGTGCGGCTACCTCTTTGAAGGTTCCTTTGGCCTGTTCGTCGAAGGCGAGGAGATCTCGTTTGGATCTGATGAGGGGCCAAGATTTGGTGTGCAGCCATTGTCACCAATCATGGATTTGGCGAGATCGACTTATAGGGAAGCCCCACCTTTCATGTCTCCATTGCGGTGAACGATGGCAGCTAGATATGGTGGCTGATCTAAAGCAGTGGAAGCATGTCAGGTGGGCTCCATGGAACTTTGACCACAAAGGTGCCCAGTGGCCACGAAGATCATACAAGCAGGTGCTCCTTCAACCACAGTCTTGACAGGAGGGGGCCAGGGCCTAAGCGGAAGAAGCAAAAGTCCAAGGTTGCCTGGCTTGCCCATGGTGCTTCAAGAACCTTGCAGAGTCTTCCCATTGAGCTCAAGCAGGCTGTTGAGAAGCTCATCGAACCAGCAAAGCCGGCACCCACACCGCCTAACAAGTTGAAAAGGGCGGTTGGAGTGCTCAAGCAACTGTCGGCCAAGAGGAGTGCACTTCAGGATGTTGTGAAGCAGCAATATGGTGCTGTGTTGGGAGAGCTCAAAGAGCTTTAGCAGAAGATTGAGGAGGCCCAGAAAGAGTTGTCGCAACAAACGAAATCGTATAACCAACAGCAGGAACAGGAGAAAAAAGCTCCCACTGAGGATCAGCTCAAGGCCTTTTCGAAGCAGCTTGCAGAGCCCGCTGCCAAAAGAAGGAAGTGTGGGTAACATGCAACGCATGGAAGGACATTAAGTATACGGGCTGTTGCTTTGCGTGCAATTGAGCGAGTGAAGTTCATCCTGGACGACAAATGCCATTTCACACGGCAGGCCAGAGAGTCCGCAAAGGACAAGAGAGAATCTGCTGCTGCTAGACAGAGGAAGAGTGAAATCGGCCTTGCTTAGCAATGGAGTTGAGCAGGGTCATGTGTGGCGTGTCAAAGGAGCGAGCCTTCAATGCAAGGGTTGCAATTGGCACCTGAAATAGTTGAGGACAGAGCAATGCCCTCTTGCGGGTGCTCCCAGCAGCAAAGGAGGGGCCGACGAAGCTCAGGTCAGTAAGGCAGACATTGTGCAGCAGACGCTTGATGGCACTTTTCCCAATCAGGGTACACGCTGGAGATCAAGAAGAACTATTTAGCTTGCACTTGTTGTGGCCGGATGAGTCTGCGCCATAGCTCCGCCGACAGGTTAACCCTTGTTGTTCGGAAACGTGCTGGAATGAAGAGTGGAAACCTCTACTTCAGTGGCAAGGCCAGTTGTCACACCTTTTGTGGCGGAAGGGCGACAAGGTTTCTTGCCTGGGCCAAAAATGTGGAGCCCAAGCCAATAGCAGCGAGCAAGGCTTCGTGGCATCGCATAAGCTCAGACGGAGTTGTGGCGAGAAGGGCGATCAGGTTGCTTTACCAACGTTGTTTCGTCGCAGTGAGGTCGAACCTGACTTCTAGAACGAAGCTGGTGGAAAAGAGACGAAGAAAAAATACACACACACACATATATATATGTTCGCACCATATACATATATATATACATATGTATAGCACTCCTGGCGTGCAAGACCTGCAAGACCTTGAAGGTTCAGAAATAGCAATCTTCTTTTCTCTATGTATATTTGTGAAAGTCCAGCAAACACATGTCCGAAAGCGCTAGCATAAGAGTCGCGGCAACGACAGCTAGGCCCGCTAGGCTTGACGCAATTATAGCCATTGCCGATGCTTATAGTGTAATAAGTGAGCTGGATCGCATCATTTGGACTTGCGCGCCACATTTACGATCAAATACAAAGACAAATACATGCAAGTTAAGACAACAAAATCGGGTGGAACTTCAGTACTGCGATGTGGTTGAGAGAAATGCGGCATTGCAGGGCCGGTTCACGAGAACGTATTGTGGCAGTATAGCGCGGGTCATGTGTCAGTCGTGTGTTCGCGAATAGCCCACCAGTGCAGTATGGCGGATGACCGTGGGAGTGGCTAATTTGAGAGGATAATGAATGGCTGTCACTTAATTGAGATAGAATGATTGCAGCAAAAACTCTCAAGCTTATACACACTTTTTGGTTGGCGCATTGGGCCATCAAAACAATTTTTTGTATGATTGATCGCAGGGACGTGCGCAGAAGATAAGGCATTGGTTTTGGCCGAGCAAAGCACAAACCAACCAGCTTCGCCCTTGACGGTGACCACTGGTGGCTTGCAGCGGACAGATGCGGAAATGTTCATTTTCTTGCAAGTGTTGAAGCCGTGTTCGCCGTTGAGTCTCAAGATTGTCGTGTAGGAGGAGGAGCTGGCCCAGGCTGGCAGTACTGCAAGCTTGCAATTGCGTGGCTTGTGTACATTGTATGCAACTTAATCATATACATATATGTATACAGAGTACTTACTATCCATTCAAAGTAGTATGTATACATATAGTTTCCTTTGCTCTATCTTGGCTTTGGCGTTGCCCATTTTGGGATTTCTTTCACGTTTCCATACATCGCGCGACATAGTCGGCCGTAGGCTAGACATGTGACCCCGGAGGAGGAAATGAACGACATTGCCACTTCAGTGCCAGCAGCTTCTGCAGCTTAAAAGGCTTTCAACTATGCACTTGTTGTGTTCAACACACACTCAGTGTACTGCATTGCGCACGGTAGTCCACTGTTGTCTTTGCAATGCAGAGTTTCCTGTAAAGCTTGTGCGCAAGGTGGTCTTTGCCAAAAAATTCTAATGTTAATGCAACATTTGCTCTCATGAACTGGGCACATTGAATCTGTGAGAGTGTAGCCACACGCGGCCAATTCTTTGTGACCTATCTTGCAGTGGACATGAGGGCAACTAGTGCCAACAGTGGTGACCAATGACACTAAACCTGGCCTGAGTCTCAGATGGACCTTTGTGGAAATGTGACAGATTGAATCCACAGAGAATGGGCGAGAGTGGTTATTCCATGGGAGGGACGCACCATCTAGTTTCCCCTAGGTCCTATAAACCTTGTCGTGCCTGGCCACTCTCAAGTGAGATCATCACCCTAACCTTACATTTGTTAGGACACTAGTAAACACATTTCTAGCGAACTAACTAGCTAACTGACTAAGAAAGAAATGGAAACGTAGTCAAAAACATTCATCCTTGCATATCCAATCCGCTAACACGAAGGCCCAAAAGCCATTAGAAATTGTGCGCTTTTCGCTTTTCATGGTAGCGGAGCCCTGGCCGTAAGAGCCGAGGCTCCCGCGCACGTGCCACTACGACGAGGCCGACCTCGACATCTTCACGATCGAGCTGGAGTGGAGTGTGGCTGAGTGAGCTGCTGATCTTGGCCTGTTTGGCCAGCGGCTTTTTGGTTGGTGGCTTGCGCCAGGAGATTTGCTACTATCAAAGTGGCGCAGGACCAGCAGGCCCAGTCAAGATCAAGAGGAGGACCTTCCACAGCATCTACGTGGATGCGGACGACTACATTGGAAAGCTCAAGTGGGTGAAGAGCGAGAGAGCAGCCGAGGCAACCCTCTTGGTGAGGAGAAGAAGGCAAAGAAGAAGTGAAAGAGGGATTGTCGAGCGCTCAGTGGTTGTTCCTGCGAGCTGGCAGTTCCTAGACAAGCTTGAGGCGACGAGAAGATTTGGAAGAAGGCCAGATCGGTGCACTACTGAGCCAGTGGAAGTTTTGGGAAGTCCTGAATTAGTGGCATACCATTCGAGGTTGAGCAAGACGGTGCACACCTTACCTCTAGGTGCTACTATCCAAAGGCATCGCAATTGCAGAGGATGGCAGACGCAAGTTTGAGGTTGGTGGCAGCAGCCTAAGTTGAGTGTGAACCAGGCCTCGCAATCCTGGTCAAGACATTTGAAGCCCCCTGATGTGTTCAAACCTAACACAAGGGACAATGAATTGAAGATGTGGAGCGATTGGAAGTTTGCATTTTGCAGCTACATTCGAGGAATAGATTTGGCAATGGCAGCGGCTATGGATGTGGTGGAAAAGAAGGTCAACAGCGACTACACCTTCGACGACGTGACAGAGGAGATGAAGACCATGTCGGTGAGACTATATAGTGTGCTCACATCATACCTTCGAAACCGCCCTCTGAAGCTGGTGAAGCACATCAAGCAGGAGAATGGGTTCGGTGCTTGGCAGTTGTTGTTGAAGGAAATGCAGCCAGCTACAAGTGCGAGGAGCCTTGCTTTGTTGACCCAGCTCTCAAGAGTGCAGTTTGGCGAGGGCAAATCATTGAGTGAACAATTCCCTCAGTACGAAGCCGTCTACGCTGATGACGCCAGGGTGGCTTCGATTCTACAGGGATGCCCTGCCTACATGAAACAACACCTTCAACTGTGGGTTGACGGTCACACAACCTACGATTCACTGAAGGCAAAGGTCATGCAGCTGGAGTCACTTGCTACAAAGTGGGATTCGAGCAACAGCCTGTCCCTTCCCACAAGATCAAGTGCTGATGACAGCGCGCCAATGGAGGTGGACTACATTGGAAAGGCGTACGACAAAGGAAAGAAAGGTGGGAAGAAGGGCAAAGATGCAAAAGGCAAGGCGAAAGGAAAGGGCAAAGGGAAGACGAAGCAAGAAGGGAAAGGACTATGGAAGTTCTTTGACAAAGGCAAGAATGCATGGGAGAAAGGTCAAGGAAAGAAAGGAAAGAACAATGAGAAGGGAACGAAAGGAAAGACAGGAGGATGCTTCATTTGTGGCAGACAAGTCGAGTTCATCAGCAGGCCCAGCAACGTTGACAAGAGAGACCACGCAAGTGTAGATGGTGAGGGTCACTACAGTGCCTGAGATCCTCGCAACAGAGATCTTTGATCTGACACATCAAGAGGAGGATGACGAAGCGATTCAACATCCTTGGAGAGTGAATGGATGAGGAGTTCTTCGACTGCCAAGTAAGAGACACCAAGTCACGTCCCAGTGATTGCAATGGACATGCAGATGCATGAGACAGATGGAGAGGAAGCCAAGCTCGCCCAGACGGTGAAAGTGGTGACACTGGACAGTGGTGCAGATGTTTCAGTCCTGCCACTGCACTATGGCGAAGTCAGGACTCGGCGGCCAGGTTCAGAGAAACTGAGGATGGTGGACGCACAGGGCACAAAGATAGTTGATCAAGGGCTGACGAAGGCAAAGATCAAGATTGGGGACAGTGAAGGGAGAGACATTGAGTCGATAGAAGAATTTGTGTTGGGAAATGTACAACATCCCGTACTATGTGCTGGACGTCTTCTACGACGTGGTCGGAGCGTAGGAGGAGAAAGTGAAGGGAAGATGTTCCTATGTCAATGTCATGAGGAACGAAACTTGAAGATCCCAATCAACGCAGAGAGAAACTCGCTCCAATTCGAAGCTAGGATGTATGGCATCGAGGCGGAGGTGTTTGAGAAGGAAGTGAGCGTGAGAGTGTTTGCGCTTAGAGGATACCTGAGCAAATATGCGGAGGAGCTCGAATTGTCCCCAGGATGGCATCGATTGCCCAATGGAGTCATCGTGTACAGTGATCCAGTTGCCATTCGATTGGCAGACGCAAGGCAAAGTGTCGATGGAGAATGGAAATCGCGAATGACACTCATGAAGGACAAGGGCGGCGTATGGAGACAACTTGAGAATGTGGAGGACTATGTCAGCCTGGGAGATAAAGCTTTCAGAAGAATCACCACGCATCAGAATGCACAAAGGACGTTGAGTTTCTTCTCACCAAGCCGTCTCAAAGATTACTGGGAGCAGGACGCAGACCGCAGAGGTACCAGTGTTCCCATACCCAGAACCTGAAGGAGAGATCAAGCACCACGAATGGTCAGAGGAGGAGCAAGAAGAACCAGAGGAGCTTGAAGAATAGTGGGAAGCCCAAGACATTGAGAAGCCCGTCCTTGCAGAGAAGAAGGATGAAGTTGAACTTGATGAAGTGGTGTACAACGAGAAGACAACAGCAATGGCATGCGCAGGAAGCAAGAAGAGGATATTGGCTCGTTTGATCGCCTTCAAGATCGGTTTAGAGAGCAAGCTACAGCTGAGCATTGCCAACAAGCTCTTCAACAAGAACCAAAAAAGGCCCATGACTTTGGGGCAGCCAAAATTGCCATCATTGAAGGAGCAAGAACTACACTTTGTCGCACATTGGCCTTACGCGCCATGGTGCCAGGCCTGCGTGGCAAGCAGGGCAAAGGCAGACAAAGCGTATATCAGAGGCAAAGAAGCCGGAACTGTGAAAGAATGTCATAGAGCTCGACTTCTTTTACGCCTACGCGGAGAAGGGAAGATCAAAAGGCGCCTGACAAGGTTCAAGAGCGGCAGGATCAGTTCGGCGCATGCCTCATCATGGCCTCGAGTGAAACAAACGAAAGCAACCCATGTCGTGCCAGTGCAAAGCAAAGGTGCCGCAAGCTTGAAGCGCATCATGGAGGAGGTCATTGGATTCGCTTTAGATAATGCTTCTCGAGACGCATGAATTTTGCAGGCAGACTGCAAGAGGGCAACGAGACAGATCTTGAGGGCAGTGCAGCAGGTGAGGAAAGTCATGAACCTTGAGACAGAACACCAGTCAAATGGTTTGGCAGAAAGAGCAGTGCAAATGGTGAGACGCCTAGTCAACTGTCTTCGAGCTTTTGCAGGTGATAGAGCCAACATCGGCATCCTGGGAAACTTTCACCTTTACCCTTGTGCATTCAAGCGCGCAGCATTTTTGATCAACAGGTTCAGAGTGCTCGAAGGAACGGGGAAGACATCATATGAGCTTGCAACAGGTCACAACTACCGGGGCAAATTGGCGCTGTTCGGAGAGAGTGTGATGCACAAAAGAGTGGTGAGGAACAAAGGTTCAGATGGCTTCATCGGAGGCATTTGGTGTGGCAAACATGTGTGGAACGACGTGCGCGTGGTGCTCACACCGGAAGGAGCGTATGAAGCCAGGACCATTCGTCGATTGGCAGCTGAACAGTCGTTCAAAGCCTTGGAGATGGTGGTTGCAAAAGGTTTGCCCTGGAACTTCTCCCCTCAAGGGATACTCATGAAGAGGATTGTGGGAAGACAACAAAGAAACCCCACTGTGGAAGCGGATATCAATCCAGATGAACTTGAGGAGATGTCAAAGACAGTGGCTGCTGGTCTGGTTACACCAGCACCGGGTTTGGCAGCGCAACCAAAGACACCAGCAAGAGCATTTGCAGCACCTATGACACCGGCGCAAACTACGGACGTCAGTGCGGGAATGAAGAGGAGTGCAGAAGGACAACAAGAAGAAGAACCAGAGGCAAAGAAGTTGGACTCAACAGCGTCGCCAAGGAAGACAATGGCAAAGAGAGAAGGTGCAGAGGAAAGCAGAGCAAATAGATGAGAAGAGGCAGAAAGTGAGCCTTGAAGAATCAATGAAGATGGATGAAGAGAAGGGAAAGGCCAGTCGAGAATCAGACTCTGCAGTGGAAGGATCTCCAAGCGCAAAGAAGTCAGGACTATATCCACCGCACTATGCAGGAATAGAAGCAGTTGAGGCCCATGGAGACGAAGAAGCAGGACTCGACTATATGCTGGAAGAAGTCACAGAAGAACACATGGGTTATGGAGGGGACGAAGACGATGACCCTCCTGAAGGCGAGCGCGCTCCGCAAGCTTCTCAAGCAGTTTTGGGTGTGCGCCAGCGCGCTCCAGGCGCGCTCGGAGCGTGTGCTTACTTAAGGGCGCGCGCTCCGGCGCGCTCTGTTTATCTGCTGGCAGCGCGCTCTGGGCGCGCTCGGCCGGTGTTTGGAGGGCACTTTACAGATGCGCTCTGGAACGCGCTGTCCTCTTGTCTTTTTCTTGTCCTCCTCTTCTTGTCGTCCTCCTGTCCTCCTCTCCCTTTGTCGTGTTCTTGTCGTCCGGCTGTGCTGGCCAACCCTGCGTCCTCCTTTTGTCCTTTTCTTGTCGTCCTCTTGTCCTCCTCGCCTCCTCCTCTTGTCCTCCTCATCCTTTGGCCGCGCTGGCGAACCCTGTGTCTTCCTCCTGCTTCCAGCGGCCACGTTTTCGAACCCTGTGGGTGCTCCTGGTCTTCCCCGCTGTCCTCGCGCCACGGTCGCAAAACCCGTGTCCTTCTGTACGTTGTGGGCCCGTTTATCACCGTCTTACCCGGGGCTTGTCCCCTGCTTGGCCACGCCGTTTTCCCTATCTCCACCGCCTTGTCTGGGTATGTTTTCATCTGGCTATGAATGCGACAGCGACACAGCGATCGAAATGCGGTATCACCATCGGATCTTCTCGCGACATATATCCGGTATCCATCGTTTTGCGCGTGTGACACAGGCATCATGAACTGGAGTTTTCAAACATTTACTGTCTAGGTGCAGTTCCCAAACAGCTGGAGGCTTTAGAAAAGTAAACTTGCATTCGTTTCCACCAACATTGGAATTTTCGGAGTTGACGCCGACACCGACAAAAATGCTGACGCTGTTTGGGGTCTATGCTGGTGTAATTTCTTTTTTTAAATCACACTACACTGGGTCGTAGCTCAAGACAGACCGCGATGTAGTAGCAGGGGTGCATAGGAAGGAAGTAACGGGCTGCGATGTATTTGCACAGTCGTTTCTTCACCTAACCCAAGCGTTCGTGCGTGTTCTTGCAGTCTGAGGTTGTGGACTTGGCCCCAAAGGGGATCCAGAAATGCAGACAGCGCCGAAAAAGTGGAAAAGGGAGAGGGCCAAAAGAGAGACCGGCCTTAACTGAAGTGTCAGAAGGAGGCCGAACGGTCTTGAAAACCGCCAACCCAAGCACTGGATGCGAAGTGTCAGAAACCCAATGTTTACAATTAGAAATTTGTTCAGAAACGCGCTTCAGTCTGCGAACACTTTTGGGTCGGACTGGGTTGGCGCAAATGATGTCTCTTTCAAAGTGTAGGGGCTTGGTGGCCGGTTGGCTGGATGGCCGTGTGTGTGTGTGTGTGTGCGTGCGTGTGTGTGCGTGTGCGTGTGTGTGTGTCACACTCTGTTTCCAAGAGCTCTAATGTGCAGGGGGCTAGCGGCCCATTTCTCGACGCTAGCCAACGAAGCTAGAGAGATGGGTGGGTGAGTCTGTGGACGCGCAGACTTGTACCTGCAAGGCAACTGCTGATCACGCTGTCCATTTTCTTGGTTTGCTTCCATGGTGGTTCATGATACTTCCCACAAACCTTCTCCCCCCGCAGACTTGCAGCAGACTTGCAGCCGCGCTGAGTGTCTGACCGTTTTTCGAGTGCAGTTGCAAACAAGGTTAAACCATACTGTTCTCGCTGACTTTTTCACCTTGCGGTTCACCACCATCCTTCCACCTGATCCCACGGTGGTTCATGATACTTCCCACAACCCTCTCCCCACCGCCGCTTTGCAGCCACTTTGCAGCCGCGCCGAGTGTCCGATCGTTTTCGAGCGCAATTGCAAACAAGGTTAAACCATACTGTTCTCGCTGACCTTTTCACCTTGCGGTTCTCCACCTTCCTTCCACCTGAACTGAACTAACTGAAAACCAATGTCAGAGTGTGACTCGCTCAGTCGTCCCACTTGGGTGCTGGGTGTGATCCTCCGCAAGGAGGCGCCGTTCTCATTCCGGAATTCGTGTAACTGCTTTCACCTCTTCCACCATACCTTGGATTTTCTTAACCGCCTTAGTGTCACCGCTGGATTGCCTGAATCGTAAGCCGCCGGCCTTTCACGGAAAGAACTGCTCAGATTCACGCTTGCAGCTTACTTTCAATTTCAAGAGTGTACGGTCACACATTTTCCACAACGGTCACTTTTGAGATCAGGCACGTTACGTTTCAAATTTAATCAACTGGACTCTGATCGTTTGGGTTCCCACACCAACCCCCCCGGCGAGTTCTACTCCCTACCTAATTAGGGTAACAGAGGGAAACGGTACTCGACACACTTGTGTGTCGGTGCCTTTCCCTCTGTTGTCCCTGTTCTAGTCTACTCTACCCGGGCGGTTTAAGATTAAAGTCCCGCTCCCTAACTATTGCACCTAATGAGTTTCCGCTAAGTAGTCAGTAACTCTAGAGTGCTAGGTATTCAGACACACACATGGACATACGCCCCCTCCCTGCCCCCCCGCTTTCTTTCTTGCGCCGAGTGTCCGATCGTTTTCGAGTGCAATTGCAAGCAAGGTTACTGGGATGTCCCCTGAAGATCTTATTGTTTATCAGGAGTTACTAAAGAAGTTATAAAGTTTACAGGACTTAGCTAAGTGGTTAAGTTGTGAGTGAAAAGCTAGCAACTTAGCAGGTTTGCTAACTGGTTAGCTAACTGGTTAACAGTTTGTATATAAAAATGCACCTCGGTTAGGTTTTTGTGTTTTCTTAATCAAAAAATATACATTTACATAAATATTCACAGTGTCTTTGTATATTCTCCCTGATAGACATGCTTGTGAATTGACTGTTTTCTGCTTCAAAAAGCAAAAACAATTTTGTGTGTTCATGTGAAAACACATTCAAGTGTGCCTTGGAATGTGAATCCATTGTCCAGGCTTTGTTGTTTCCAAACACAAACAGAGTTAATCTCTATTTGTGTTAGTGTAAAATATTTTGGTTTTGGTTCCAGGTGTAGTATGTATAGGAGGATGG